GTTTATAGGACACAGAAGTCAGACAAAAACTTCCACCTTATTATTTTTACATTTAATGCAGTGAGAGACTTATTTGCCTTCCCACCTCCTCCACGTTGCTTTTCCAGGTCGGATTTGTGCTTTATACTGCACCCATTTTGCTCAGCTCAGTATACTGAAAGTAACCAGGATAAAAAGAAGTTGGAGCTCTTAATGAGAATCAGGGATCAAAACAATTAATTCCAAAGCCAGTACTTCTGGCTCAAATTTGAGCAGTCTGTGCACTACAGCAAAATTCTGAAGCAGTTTTACCTACCCTGACACGCATCCACTCACAGGACTGAGTATGACCAGGATTAAAATAGGTTCACTCTTGGAATTTGTCTTGTCAGTCACCAGAGGGAGTTTTCAGTGTCAGGCTTTCATCAGCAGAGCTTCAGAAATCCCCTTTGTAGTTTATTTTATTTACAAAGATGCTTCAAAGGTTGTCATAGAACAGGAAGATTTTTTTTTCCCAGATGAATTTTCAGAGATAGCAAGCTGAGGAAGAAGGGCACAGTTTAGTTTTGGACTGCAAACAGACGTTTGCTTATAAATATTTTTACTGTTATACAAACCCAACATGTATTTTAGAGATGAGGACCTGCTCCTGCGTGAGATTTCCATTAATAGTCCTGATCCTGCTTATTAAAGTTAGTAGGAATTTTAACATCTGCTTCCATGGAAGAGGTCATAGGAGCGCCAGCATTGTTAGAAATACACACAGCACATCAGGTACAGCTGGGGAAAGAAGAGAACTTACTCCCTTCCACAATGAGTCACATAATTTTATAACTTAGAACAACTTTATCACTCTTAAGACATTTGTATAGCACCAATCACCAAGAGCATTGTCACTAAGGCACTGGACTGGTACTCAGCTGTCATGGGCTCTGCCTCCAGGTCTAGGGTCAATCATCTATGTTTATGTCTTTTGTTTTTACTGGCACATAACTTTTGACATTGGAAAATAAGGTAAATAATACAAAACATCCTCCATCACTTACAGGAACAACACACCACGACGAATTACAAGGTGCTCAAGTTCTGAAACCATGAACATTAATAAATCTGTGCATAGATTTACTGGCAGGAGGAAATTGCCCTGCAAGTATCAATTCTGTGCAGCACAGTGGAGCAGTGTTAGCTTCCCTTCCTCTGGAGTTAGGACATGCCCTCAGTTAAATCCTGCCCTGATGCCACAAATCAAAAGAGTTTTTAGATAAATGAAGAAAAGCCCTCAAGGACTCCTGTCTATGACAGCTGATCCAGGATGCCTTCCTAGGCTTTTGCATCAAAGTCTGCTCCTATCAACTTACAGAGCTCCAGTTTCAGCCTCTGAGAGCAGTTTTTGATGCTTTCAGAGGCAGCTGAATCATTTTTTAGTCTGTAGTGGATTTATCTCTCCACATTATTAAAAAAGAAAAAAATCTTTAGGAGTTATCCCTACTCTGCTGCACCACACTGAATGTGTGCTCTGATGCACAAATTACTAAAAGCTCTTGGGTTGAAATAAGTTACTGCAAATGCACAGTAGCTGATTTTGAAACCACAACATCTCTACAATTTATTATTATTTTTACAAAATACCCAAAGTGATCAGACCATATTGTAGGTTACTGGCTTGCCGAAGGTTGTTTTAAAATCAAAACCATTTCTGAGTTACAGAAGTGCCAAAAACAATCTTGAACCAGGTTTGTTTGTTGTTTTTTTGTTGTTTTCTTTTTAAACCAACCCCCATCCAACAAAACAGTTGTATAACTTAAAACAGAAACAAGAGTTTGTGTTGGAAACTGTTGAAAAACCAACCCACCAAAATCACGCTTGAGCAGAAGCCTTGTATGGCAAAGATTCAGCTTAGGGCAGTTTAGTGCCAACCCTCCATAGGTTTACAATGGAAATACTGACACAACCTCAACTACAGTGATGCAAATGTGCCCTAAAAACACTGTATTTGCTTTTATTAATAAAAGTGGTAGTGTTTACATTTGCAGGTATCTTACACTTCAGCATCACGATGAATACTGAGTAGAATGAGTTAAGTTTTGGCTGTAAGGTCAGAAGTTTCCAAACAGATGAATGAGACAGAAGTGACAGTCTTCAATCATGAAAACAAGAAGTTCAAATAAATAAATAAAACAAAACTAAGAAATATGGGTAAGCATTAGGTTGGAATGGTTCAATTAACTGCAAATTATGGCCACTAAATTAGAGACAGAAGAAAACACAGTTACTTATTAAATAGCAAGCATTAAAGCTTTATGGTTTTGTATTAAAAAAAAAAAAAAAAAAGGAAAAAGAAAGCTGTTAAAAATAAGACTTGCATTTACCAGGCCACCAAACTGCATGGACTAATAGAGACTAACAAAGGCAATACTGAGACATTAAGACACACACACGCTCTGTACTTGTGCAACTCAACCATATTCAAAACAATTGCCTTTTTCCTCACATAAGAAAAAAAAAAGCATCCCCTAAACATATCTGTTCATATAAAGCTTTAGGTTTCTTAAACTGTTGCTGTCTTATATAACTCATTGTTATTATGTGTCCTCCTCATCAGAGGAAAAAAAGCTTATTTTGTTAATTTTCTTAATGGAGGTGCTTTGTTTCTCTCATACAAGAGATTACATTCCTCACACCACTACAGGTTTTCTCAATTTATTAATTTGGTGTTCACACCAACTCCTCCTAGGCTTAAAAATATAAGGGTTGGCACTAAAATAAAGATTTTGGCTCCTGTAACCAAAATTAAGGCTCACAATGAATTTCCTTTCCACTACATGTGTCCCATTTTTACCTAGTGGAAACGCCAGCCCTTCACCTACAGGCACTGGATACATTCTGAATTAGAGGGGCCTATTTTCAGTCATGTTTTCTACAGTTCTACAAAGTTCAGGTGGCAGCTGTCTAAACCTGTGAACAGGAAATATTCTAGAAAGGCGAGTAACAACTGCAGCTAAAATTTTTCAACTATTCAGTGTTTCTGGAAGTAATTCTGAATTGAGATGGGACAGTAACTCCCTCACATCCCTGCTCTCCAGTGAAAATGGATTGTGTGATTCATTTTAAGACTTCAGCCACAAAAGCAAATGAAAAGTCACAATTCTGAACAGTTGCATTTCTTAACATTGAAAAGGCATCCGATACCTGAAGCAAATCTAGCTGCACAGACATCACTGACCACGCCCTCACATGAATTTAAACTGGATCTCTTCCCAAACAAAGAAAGCCAACACGGTCTCTTGGGTGGAGGGAAGCTAGTGTGAAAGGCAAAGAGGCAAGAATTTTGGTGTTTGTTTTTGTTTCTTTTCCTTTTAAAGTCACTGCAGTTAAGATCCAGATCAGTTTAGGGGTGTAAATGAAGGGGGAACAGGGGTGTTTGAGTAATATCGGCTAACACTGTTCTAGATGTGTTATTACAGCTGTAATTTCTGACTCTGTACAAATTGTACACGTAGGTTTAGACACATGAAAAAGTAACACACTCACAGAGACATAAAACACCTAGGTATAAAATATAAAGCAGTGTAGTAGTTACTAAAATTACATGCTCTCTTATTGCTACAGTGATTTTTGCTCTTTTTTCTTTTTACTGTACCACATGTTGTTCTAAGCATATAATTTGCATAAATTATTCAAGTTTAAGAAAAAATCCACACATCTTCACTTTTAAGCTACTTATATAGTTAATATAAAACAAAAAAAAAAAAGGTTCTAAAGTATCTCTTTATTAAAAGAGAAATAAAAATGTCGTTTGAAACTGGAATTCAGTGGCCAAATCCAAGGGCAGTGCACACCTTGTCATTCTGGTAGTCGTTGCCCACGCAGGGCAAGCCGAGGTTGGTGGGTATTTGGCCCAGTCTAGAGATGGTCACCAGACCTGCATGATGCCCTACGTGTCTGTTATTGTTCTGGTTTTTTTGTTTTTGTTTTT